AATGCTTGGCATTAGTACAGAGAAGGGAAAGCTCCCAACAGTAAAATTCACAAATGTCTGCCCAATGATGGTACTGAATAGTTCTTAGTTCACATATATAGCTTTATAATCTATGATATTTATCTAACACCTTTAAGTTGGTTGGGTGTTATTAACCAAAGAACAATTTTTTGTTCTTTGTTTCTATTTCTTTATTTAAAATATTAGGGAAAGGAGATCCGAGAGGTAATAGGACTATGCAAGTCTACCTAACTAGATTGCTGGGAAATCATATTTCCTGAGGTCTGCTTTATTCTACCAGACCATTCTGTTTGCACACCTTGTACTATTTAGTAGTAGTGGACTAATGTTATTGGTCACCTATTCTCTATCAGATAATGGCTTTAGGCATTTTGAGAGAAGATGCCCTGGACTTTCCTAAATTTCGTCTAAGAAATATTCTGGATGGAGTCTGTTCTCACTGTGAGCATTAGTTACGTAAAGGTATAGATGAGTCTAATTTTTCTACCTGGGTCGATTGCATAATTGATGTTTATTCACCTATTAGCTGCACTGATTCATATATCCTAATCTTTTTTTAAAAAGGTTTTATTTATTTATTTGAGAGAGAGAGAGAGAGCACACAAGCAGGGAAGGGACAGAGGGAGAGGGAGAAGCAGACTCCCCACTGAGCAGGGAGCCTAACTCAGGGCTCAATCCCAGGACCCCAGGATCATGACCTGAGCCAAAGGCAGACAATTAACCGACTGAGCCACCCAGGCATCCCTCATATATCCTAATCTTAATTAGCATTTAGACATAGTAATTGGCATAAAACTAAACATATAATAATCATATTTTTTTCTGCTACTTACATTTTAAATGAGCCATTAAAATTTAGCCAATCAAAATAACTTATCCTGTAGGCAAGGAGAAGTTTGGTTCTGCTGTACAAAGAACTTAAAAAGAATCCTTTGGGGTCATCTGGCTGGCTGAGTCATAGATCATGTAACTCTTGATCTTGGAGTCATGGTTTCAATCCCCACCCTGGGCCTAGGGCTTACTTTAAAAAAAATTTATATATATATATATATATATATATACATATACATATAGTCTCCTTTGAGTAAAATTGTAGACATTTATATACATGTTAGGTTCCTTTAGTTTCTATGGAATCTGAAAGTATTCCCATCCCATATGTTGAATGGTAGAATACTAGACTTCTCTTTTATAGTCTGTAATCCAATAGACAAAACCTATTTTTGCTTGTTAGATAGCTTCCATTAGTAAGCATGGAAAGATCGAGTATATCTGATGTTATTTTTCACTGGTGTAGCTAATGCTGCGGTGATGATGGCCCTGACACTGGGGTAATTTCCACTTTCACTCTTGAGGGCCTATGAGTTACTATAGTTGCCACAAGAAACCAACAGTAACCAACAAGCACAAATAGAAATTGCATACCGCACATCCCTTTTATTGTTCTAAACAACCTCATGAAGTTTTTAGAAACTGCCACACAGTTGGATTCCTAACTGCACGGCAATTTGAAGAGAATTTGAAATTCTACCAATAAAAAGATTTGCACGGGTAAACCCCTACCTCTACATCAAGGGATGCAATAGGATAAAGACGACAGGTTTATAGGACTGATCCCAAAATGTACTCGGTTTGTAAGGAGGTCAAAATTCTAATATTTACGGAATATGTTAATTTGGAGAAGCTTGGGAGAGTCAGAGGAAAGCTCCCAGGGAACCATTCCCCCCCACCCCAGCCTCAGTTGTAAAGAAGGGCTACTAACTCTTTCATCCTGTTCTAAGTGGAGAACAGATCTTCTCCTGGCTGCTCTGGGTAGCTCTCCCTGTCTCCACAAAGGCGCCCGTTTACTCTATTTGACCTTTGCACTCTAGCACGCCCATACCTCTCTAGTCATGTGCCTAGTGTAACATCAGATGAAATCTTTCCACTTCTCTTTGCCTCCAGTAGATTTAAATTAACTGAAGTCACCGTATTTCATTGTGAAGCATGTGATTACATTGTTCCAGACACTGTCTTAAATTATATGACTCTGTTAAAATTTTAACTTTTTTCAAGTAACAAATCTTAAAAGATGCTAAAGTCAGTTGTTTAGTAAAGCAGATCACTAAAAACTTGAACTTATTGAAGTCAGTTTAAACTATATGCCACAATACTCAAATTAATTCATTCAGTGTATATTTATCAAGTCCTACCATATGTAAGGCACCGTGAGCCAAAATATAGATACACAGAGCTCCCAGGTCTCATAATGAAACCAAAACTTCAAATTTTGTTCAATCATAATTTGATATAGGAAGCATTTTGGGCTTTTTTTTTTGGTATATGAAAATTTATTACTACTGTATTTCATGAATAAAACTTATGATCTTGGGGGACATCTGGGTGGCTCAGTCAGTTAAGCCTCTAACTCTTGATTTCAGCTCAGGTCATGATATCAGGGTCATGAGATCAGGGTCATGGGATCGAGCCCCATGTCAGGCTCCCCAGTCAGTGCAGAGTCTACTTGTCCCTCTCCTCTCTCTCTCTCAAATAAATAAATAGATTCTTTTTTAAAAATTTAAAAATAAAAAATAAATGACCTTGGTCTTTCCTTCTTGCTTTCATATAAAGCCAAAAGAAAGAGAGATTGACTGCTTTAACAACCATAGCAGACTACAGGAATGTCACCAACAGCATGACCTTTGTGACCAAATCTAGTAACCAGAACTTTCCTGTTTTTCCTCCATGCTGAGTGTGTAGCCCAACATGGGGATCGATCTCACAACCCTGAGTTCATGACTTGAGCCAAAAACAAGAGTCAGAGGCTTAACTGACTGTGCCACCCACGTGCCCCAAGAGCGGGAGCTTTTTTTAAAAAATATTTGCCTTCTTTGATATAAACCAATTCTTGTCTCTACTCCCTACCCAATCATCTCTTTAGCTGCTCATATTAGTATTCGATAAAAAAATTTTAATTTCTAAGAGCTTTATATGGTGGGCTCTATAGAATAGTAGTTTAAAAAATGGGCTTTGTGGTTTTGAAAGAAATCCCTTAATCTTTCTGAGCCTCAGTTTCTTCATCTGTGAAACAGAAATACTGATTCTTTCTTGGTGATATGCTGAGGACTAAACAAAACATTATTCATGGATCCCTTAGCATACACCCTCACGTGGAGTGTGTGTCCAATAAAAAGTAGCTCTCATTTTAATGGAGTTTGGGTGAAGTGAATGTGCTTGATGTGCTTGTTAAGCAGTATGATTCAGTTTTAATAGTAGGTACAGTGGCAGAACTGTCTTCCTCTGATAATAAGAAAAGTAAACTTTGGTAGAACCGAAGGAAGCAAAATATCTAGACCCAGAGCAAGGAGAGGGCCATGGTGCTGGGAAGAAGATAGCATCAGGGGTCTCTTAGTTGGGGTTGCCCTAAAACAGAACCTGAGATGAGGAATTGGATGCATGTTGGTTATCCCTAGAAATAGGGATAACCTTGAACCTTCAAGAAAATGTACAGAAAATATACAGAATGAAGTAGGCTTGGTGGAAAATCCAAATAATCTACATAAGATCCCAGAATAAGATACCTACATAAGCGTGCTGAGTGCTTCTCAGAACTGCCTGAAAGGTAGATGGCTGAAAAGTTTGTCCACAAGCTCCTGCCTCCCATCGGTTGAGGGCTGCCCTTGAGGGTATTAACTATCTCCCACATTTCCAGGCCAACCTTGAGGAAGTACTGAGCAGGCTTCTGCAATTCTGGAAAAGGCTCTGAGGCAGAAATTAGGAAGACTCAAACAATGTTCTGGAGGACTGGGCTTGTGAAGAACCATCCACTGAAGCTACAACTGAAATCAAAATGGGGCTTAGAGGATGAGAAACAGGACTCTAAACTTTCCTGCACAATAGTCTTTCTGACAGACCATGAAAAGCACCAGGACAGGGAAAAATTGTTACAGACTGAATGTTTGTGTCCCCCCCAAAATTTATATGTTGAAACCCTAACCTTTAATGTGATGGTATTAGGAGGTGGAGCCTTTGGGAGATGACAGTTAGGTCATAAGGGTAGAATGCTCCTAAACAGGATTAGTGCCCTTGTCAGGGACTGAAGAGATCAGAGTTCCCTGCTCTCCACCATATGAGGACACAAGAAGATAGCCGTTTGCAAACATGGAAGAGGGTTCTCGCTACACCCTGGCCGTGTCATCACTCTGATCTCAGACTTCAGCTTCCAGAACTGTGAAAAATAAATTTCTGTTGTTTGTCCACACGGCCTATGATACTTTGTGATAGCAGTTCAAACCGACTACTGACAGAATTGAATGCTGGTTTCAAAGATACATCAGATATATGGTTTTCTCTAGGTTCTAGCTTAGCTTCTTTCATGGCAACTAGATTATGGTGAACAAAGTTCAATGCAATAAAATAAAAGTGTAAGGACACAGAATCTTTTCTTTCCCAGAAGCTCCTACTGGGATCGGAATTGCAGGGTTTCCAACTTGGTTACCTATGTAGTCATGATACTGCCACAAAAGGAAAGATGTGGCTTCACAAGGATAATATATTCCCACTGTATCCTTCAGTTCTCTATCCCCATAACCAGGAAACACTCCAGTCAGAGCCTGATCGATGTGGGTAAGCCAGACTTCTCCGTCACCTTCTCTGAAGTCTCCATTATATTAGTCAGGCAGAAATTACTAAATACTTGAAATGATGAGTCCACAGCTTGTTCAGGGAATGTAATGGGGAAATTAAACTCAGCATTAATGAGTTAAAAAGCCTTTTGGTTTCTATTTGAAGGGGGGCAAGCTTGTTGGCCTAGCTAATCTGACAGTGAAAGGTAAAATGATTTATAAGTGACAATTTATAATTTATAAATAATTAGATTGTCCATTCAATGCATGGTTGCAATTTCTGTCCAATCAGAGTGCCACCTAGGGTTCCCTGATAAAATGTGAACATTGCATGGGATATCCTTATATGAAAAAATACTCACTACTGATCAAAAATTCAAATTTACTGGGAATTCTTTATTTTTATTTGCTATATCTAGCAACTCTATTGCCACCTCCAAACACATACAAAGAAAGAGCTGCTCATTAAAACAAGACTGTAAATGTTCTGCAATGTTGTGCTAAAGGTTCTTGGACTTTTCAGTAGCAGCAACATTTCAATAAATTGACATGTGAATTAACTTTAACACTTTACATATTGTTTCCTTGGGCACATTTCTAAAAACTTTTCAAAGCATTTCAATAATTTATTTTGTCACAACAGGGCAATTTGTATATTGAAAAAACACTGTGATAGTAATAGGAAAACTCTTTTCAAATAATTCCAAATGAGCCTTCAAAAGACTCCCACTTACTTGTTAAGAGTCAAATATGCGTACTTTAAAATGTTTTCATAGGATTCACCTAAATATTCTTTCATAAATAAAATCTAAATCAACTTCTAAGTCCCAGAGCAGTTCTGTAGAGTTCTTTGATGAACAGAAACATCCCAAAACCACATGCAGAGTCACTTCATTTTAGTTGCAAGATTCTTGTTCCAGCTCACCTTCCAAAACAATTTCAGTCAAGTAGAAATGTTCTGACAATCCCAGCTCTTAGAATGGCAAATAATCCCTGCCTTTTCATTCATTCGCTCATTACCTCTCTAAAAAGAGAATGTGCAGTTACCAGAATTTTATACAATTAGTGCTCCAAGAGTGTTTTAAATGCAAACCTATAAGAGGAAAGTAAAAACAAATCAAAGTTAATTGTGACTGGCTGGAACAAAATGCTTAAATCGATACAAGGATGGCTCATCTGCTCATCATTTACCCATTACCTGGGAGACGAACACCTCCTGCTGTGCCTGATTTTTGATACAGATTTACCATTGCCTGCATTCTGCAGACACACGTTAAGGAAGCCCAGACCTTCTCTGACTCCCTGTCTCATTATCCTCTTAGCACTTACTAACCTATTCATTCTTTTTTTTTTTTTTTCCTTACTGGTGTGTTCTTCTTAGCA